CTATCAGACCAGCAAACCTGGTCCCTCCTTTTTTTTTTTTTTCCTCAAATGATTTTGAGTTTTGTTCCACATTGTTCTCCCACTGTATCCAGGATCTTCTACATAGATTCCCCTCCAAAGTGGTTGACAGTGGTAGCTGGGCACCATCTGGTTCTTCTGGTCTCATAGTCATATAGGCTGAGGATCGCAAGGTGTATCAATTGCTTGTACTAATTGTTTCCATAAATCTTTCGTTTTCTTCATTCTTCTTTGCTCTGGATGAGGAGAGACCCATCATTGCATCTAGATAGCTGCTTGCAAGCTTTTAAGATCCCATTCGCTACTTGCCAAAGTTGGAGTTAGAACAATGTTTTGTGTAGTGTGTTATGCCAATTGAGCTTGATGTCCCCTGTGACTATGGTCCCGAGCCCACAGGTTCAACTACTTGCTGGCTCTGGGTAGTTGGCTGTGCCCAAGAAGTGACTACAACCTTGTCCTTTGTCAGCTCTACTATACACCTGGGAATTCTTACAGAACATACAAATACACTTGTAGAAACATTGTCTGCCAACCATATACAGGGAGCTCTGGTAGCATAGTGCCTAAGGCACTTGACTGTTAACCAGAAGGCTGGCGGTTGAAACCCATCAGCCACTCCTCGGAAGGAAGGTTAGGCAATCTACTTCTGTAGTGATACCACCTTGGAAACCCAAGGAGGGGTCGCTATGAGTTGGGTCTGACTTGACGGCACATAACAACAACAACCCTATACATGGTCTTGGGCACATTTCTCCCTTCATGTTGTTGTTGTTATGTACCATTGAGTCAGACCCAACTCATAGCGACCCCTCCTTGGGTTTCCGAGGCGATATCACTATGGAAGTAGATTGTCCAGCCTTCCTTCCGAGGAGTAGCTGGTGGGTTTGAACTGCCAGCCTTCTGGTTAGCAGTCAAGTGCCTTAGGCACTATGCTACCAGAGCTCCCTCTCCCTATATACACATACCTAATAGTTCAGCCTGTCCACCCATCTATCTACTTTAGGGGCTTATATACTTTTTAGGTTGGCTTAAGGTGAAACTTTCCTGGCTTTTAGACTTCCTTTTCCTTTATCTCTGCCTTTGCACAAATGACTTTTTCCCAGAGATTAAAGAAAAAGATTCATTAGTGTTAGTTTGTCCCTTTGTAATTCTTAAGCAAGCATGCCCAAGGACTTCAAGGTGTAGAAATGCAAAGTTGAGTTTTCCAAGTGATAATTTATGGAAAGAAATTTTGTGATGTTGCACAGTTTGATAATTTTATGATCTCATGATTAGTGTTGGCCTAAAGGCCATAGTTTCATTAACTACCAAAATTTTATGATTTAAAATTAACAGCAGTAACATGTCAGCTTCCGTTTGGTCTGAATTCTTTCCATTGCTCATCAAAACTAGTTACCAGATCTTTTGATGTATCAATTAATTCATGTCTTGACAATCTGTATTGCAAGCGAAGCAATATGCTTCTTCTATAAAGAACATTGCTGTCATGTCCATGTTTATTCCTTCACTTTCTAACAATTTCATAAAATAGAGTGAACAACAGTAATTCAAATTGTCAACTTTGAGTGGCATTCAGTTCACTGCCTCTTTATCATGACTTAATTCCAGATTGACCACAGTATCAAACTAAATGATGAATAAGGTGTGTGTGTGTATATGTGTGTCTGTATGTTTGTGTCTATTTTACTGACTGAATACTAGAGCCATTTGTAAATTTTTCTGAAGTTTTTAGATGATACTTTCTACATGTTAGTCTTGATGTTCTCTTATTTAGAGTTTTATTTTTATTACTTTCCCTATCTAATGGATAAATAATAAAATTATTTAAGAACTTGTTTTAACTCCTCTTTTCCTTTTGAAATGGCACATAGGAAGTACAGAATGAAGTAAGCAACTCTGAAGCTACCCTGTGTGTTACCAAGAAAGGGTGGGTGTCATTTGTCTCTCAGTTAACTCTTCAGTGGGCCTTCTACCTTCCTACAATGGGTCCCTCTTATTCCTTTGATGAATAATTTGTCACTAAAATCAGCCTTTAAGGATTAGAATTGCTTTTGATTTCTTTCATTACTATTCTAAACCTAAGCAGTATTATTTATAGACATTACACAAAAGACTAGCCCTATACATTATTGTTAACACTCTTCCTATCTTTATTCAAAATATTAAGTAATTTAGTTAAAAATACATTTAGTTTGTTTTACATGATATAAACCAACACCGAATTAATGATAAATCAAACTTTTAACTGATACACTTAACCAAATTGTTTTCATCCAATCTTGTAATTTTTAAAGTTCTTATCATTATAATGAAACTTTTCCAGACCAAACAATGTCATCCTGAGGTTGTGCATGCAGTTTTGAGTGAAATTAAAACAGGCAGTTATAGGAAAGAACAAAAATACAAACAACTAGGATTTGAGACTCTAAAGGAAAAAAAAAAAAAACACTTAAAATTAATATATTCCTTAATTTCAAGTTTATGGGCATAAGCACATTTGACCAGAGTGCATTTCAGTAATGAACTACATTAGGCTTTTAAATTGTTGTTGAAAAACATCCAGAAGGAGGCTTTAATTAGATCTTCTCAAAAAAGACTGTATTTCAAGGCAAGTAGTTTTCTACCTATGGGTTGTATTTGTTCCATTGCAGAATTGAATCCAACTTTGATTCGTAAATTCCTTTCTGGACAGATGAATTATTCAGACTAATTTCAAATGCCAATAAAACTGTTTAAGAAATAGTAAATATTTTCCAGTTCTTATATTTTCTTCATAAATATGTTCAGAATACCAGCTATATTGTACATTTTGGTATTGGCTTCTGTAATTAACAATAACTGATTTTTCAAAACCTAATTAAATAACAGTGTTTCAAAAGTTTCATGTATGTCTCAACAAAATTTTGTACATTCATTTGCACAGGTAACTCTAAAAGGCTTTTCTTCATGTAGTCCTATAGAACAGTTCAATTGTATATTAGATTCTATTATTTGACAGTATTGTTTTATTCCAAATAATACTACATAGATTTCAAAGGTTTTATAGCTAAAGTACTACTCAGGCTGCTATTTAAAAATTTTTTAACATTTTTTCCCCCTCTTTCTAATATAGCACAGACTTAGAGAAAACTGAGAGGATATTTTGAAGCCATAGGGCATCACCACATTATAGTCAGGTCATTTTCAAGGAAAAATGATGATTTAAAAATAATGACACACAGCTGCCTTTCCTTCTGCCTTTTCTATAATGATTTCCAGTTTCAGAGGAATGAATAGGCCACTTTCTCTTCAAATCTTTATGTAATTCCATTATGATGATGTGGCTTTCAGATTTTGAAGATCACCATTGTACATACCCCTCTGATTTGGGGAATAAATAAAACAAAACCAAAAACGGTGGTAGGAATAAAGAAGACACTTACCCGTAGTTTCAGAGGGTGCCAGCTGGATTTAACCCACTATTGAAGGAAAGGAAGAGGCATCCCCTTCCCTCACAGGCTAATCTAGTGGCTCTGTGCTTAGTATTATAGCACCACTGACTTTTATCAGCTGCCAAACAGTGACATCTGATGTGCTTGCCTGTCCATCTACCTATGCTGGCATGTCAAAGTAAGAGTCCAGAATCTAAACAATATCTCAGATGTCTTGGTGATATTTAAGGAGTGGGATTACATGAGCTTGTCTTGCAGGCCTCTTTATTTTAGATGTGAATTTTGACTATGAGTTTTAGTGAGCTCATGTGAGGGGCAAGTGCAGTGAATTGGGAAATGGGGACAGTTAAGGAAAACTCAATTTCTTTACTGTGTGGGCTTAGAGTCTTCCCTGTTGAAGAGTAAAGGACTAAAAGAGAAATTGTAAGTATTCTAAAACTGAAGTTCTTCTGTCTAGAAAGACTTTTCCAGAGATAAGGCCAGTGATGAATGAGCTCCACATTAACTTGTATTGGATAATGCTTCATCTGAAGGTTTTTTAAAATCTTTATTTTCTCTTGCCAAATGAGTGGGGGCAGAGTGGAGTTCAAATAGTTTATTTCAAGAGAGGATGTGTGGTCTGGGCAAAGGCAGGAGAGCAGGTCATACTGATATGTCATTGGAAAGGTAAGGAGGTAGAAACACATGATTTGTTTTATTTTAGCAAGGTTTCTGATATGTATCCCATATGCTCCCTTGACTCAGTACTTTTATTCTAACAGGGTTTTGAGACACTTAA